GTCAGACAAAATTTCAACCAGCGAAATTAAATGATTGTCATTAGTAATTTATGAATCGGACAGTTTCTCGTCTAAACGAGTGCTGTGTTGGGCAGGATGAGGTTTTGTAAGGTGGCTTAGCAGGAACAGGGAAGTGGCGTCGTGCCCAAGCAGGCTACTTTATTTCAAGGTGCTTTGTGTGGTCCTCCTGGTAAGGGCGTGTCTAGGTGCAGTGGGGGTGGGGCTTTCTTATCACCTGGCTACAACTGGGCTGGTTGGGGTTTGGCTGTTACCTCTCACTGTCTCCAGGTTTCTGGGGAGCTCAGGAAGCAAATTAGTTTCTGTTTAGTGGCAAGAGTGATTTCTTGTGCGTTAAGTCTGTTGGCTTAGTGCAGGAGCTCAGTCCAAATCGATTTTATTCAGCATAACTTAAACAATCTAGTTGTTAAATAGGGAGACTCAGGAGTGCAAATACATTTTTGGGGTGCCGGATTCTGTCTCAGTTGCTCCTCTTCCAGTCCAGCTCTCTGCTGTGGCCTGGGAGTGCAGTGGAGGATGGCCCAAGTGCTTGGGCCCTGCACCCGTGTCGGAGACGGGGGGAAACACCTGGCTCCTGGCTTCGGATCAGCACAGTACACCAGCCGCAGTGGCCATTGAGGGGTGAACCAATGGAAAAGGAAGACCTTTCTCTCTCTCTCTCTCTCTCTCTCTCTCACACTGTCTCTGTCTCTCACACTCTGCCTGTACAAAAAAAAAAAAAAAACAACAACAACAACAACAAGGGCACGTCATAAATTTCATGTAAAAATGGAATTAGAACATGAGTTTATTTTGGTGAAAAAGTTTTGAAAATCATCATAGCTTTCTCATGCATTTCCATAAATTTTTGAAGACCCCTTGTATGCATGGATTGCAAACATTTTGTACTGAAATAAGTTCATCTTTTAATTCCACTTTCCGTGAGCTTTTTTAGTACCCTCATAAATTCATATTCCCATATCTAAATTTTATTGCAATTAAAGTGAAAATTCCAAGTTGTTCCTGTTTGCTTCCTTTGAGATGGAATAGTGAAATGTAAAGTAAACTGAGTTTTAATTTAACCGAATGGTATGTAGGTACACAAGTTAGGAGAAGTCTAAGGAAATACAGGAATAAAAGAAGAGGACTTGTCCTGCCAGTATTAACATGTATAAGTAGAATAACTGTGTGGTTCTGGCCCAATCAATGAAACCAGTTAGTGTGAAGAAGTAAGCAGTCCTGGAGGACATAGGATTTTGATGTTAACTCTTTGAAATTAGTTCTTCTCATTGTGCCTAACACCAAGCCGGATGCTTAGGGAGTCTGGATTGTTCCGAAGACAAACTGGAAGAAGCAGTGAGCGAACGTGGTCATCGAGCTTCGGAAGCAGGGAGAGCCTTTGAGGTAAGAGTAGTAGTGGAACAGACACCCGTGTGGAGAGCATTGACAAGCCTGACACGTGAAAAGCTTAAACGTTGGTCCAGCAGTGAGTCCCTTAAGTCGAAGTTGAAAGAGAAGACCAAGAAGAAACACTGGTAGCATGTAGAGGAAAGGGGAAAGGTAGTTTACTGCATCAATCAAGGGCTAGAAACCACGCTAAAATGTGTTTGCAAAGGGGTAAGTTTACTCAGGAGCACGGAACTGCAGCCGTGAGGATCACTTGCTGCTACTGCCCGAGTGCAGAAAGAGAATCCAGAAAAGTAGCACACTTGGAAGAGACTTCCCCCACCCAAGACTGTGGTCAGACCTTGTAGCTCGGCAAGGGCCCCAGCTGGGGCCCAGGACACCACCTGCTGGCGTGCGGCGAGCCTGACTGATGGTGAGTCCGCACTTGCCCCCAGGTGTGCAGCATCCACCTGCTGGAGACAAGGCCACGGTCATTGGGTCCAGCAGCCACACCTTGGGGCAGGAGGAATACACTCCCACCTGGAAGGGGAGCTCTGTGCCTGCGCTGGGTACTCCCACCTGGAAGGGGAGCCCTGTGCTGGGTACTCCCACCTGGAAGAGGAGCCCTGTGCCCTGTGCTGGGTACTCCCACCTGGAAGAGGAGCTCTGTGCTGGGTACTCCCACCTGGAAGGGGAGCCCTGTGCTGGGTACTCCCACCTGGAAGGGGAGCCCTGTGCCCTGTGCTGGGTACTCCCACCTGGAAGAGGAGCCCTGTGCTGGGTACTCCCACCTGGAAGAGGAGCCCTGTGCTGGGTACTCCCACCTAGAAGAGGAGCCCTGTGCTGGGTACTCATACCTGGAAGAGGAGCCCTGTGCTGGGTACTCCCACCTGGAAGAGGAGCCCTGTGCCCTGTGCTGGGTACTCCCACCTGGAAGAGGAGCCCTGTGCCCTGTGCTGGGTACTCCCACCTGGAAGGGGAACCCTGTGCCCTGTGCTGGGTACTCCCACCTGGAAGAGGAGCCCTGTGCTGGGTACTCATACCTGAAAGAGGAGCCCTGTGCTGGGTACTCCCACCTGGAAGAGGAGCCCTGTGCGCTGCACTGGTTTGCATTCTGTTAACAAAGTGCCAGCTTGACTGTCAGTATCCATTACTGAAAAAAAAAAAAAGTAGTTGATTTGGAGCTGAGAGGCCATAAACTGATAGCTATTTTTGTAGGAAAAAGTCTTAGATAAGAAAACTGTGAACACTCTAATTGAAAATGCAGCGGAGTGTGTCTGTAGATAATTCACTGCACATGGCTGGTCAGTATTGGAAAGGGTATCGCATTATATGTTCTGGGGCCGGCACTGTGGCGCAGGGGGTAAAGCCCCAGCCTGCAGTGTTGGCATCCCATATGGGCACCGGTTCAAGACCCGGCTGCTCCATTTCCAATCCAGCTCCCTGCTGTGGCCTGGGAAAGCAGTGGAAGATGGCCCAGCTCCTTGGGCCCCTGCATCTGCATGGGAGACCCAGAAGAAGCTCCTGCCTCCTGGCTTCAGATCAGCTCAGCTCTGGCTGTTGTGGTCATTTGGGGAGTGAAGCAGCAGATGGAAGACCTCTCTCTGTCTCTAACTCTCTCTGTAACTCTTTCAGATAAATAATAAAATATTTTTTAAAAAGATTCTATGTTCTTTCCCTTCAGGAGGAAGGCTTGTGCCTACTCTCATCCTCTGATTCTTCATTTGCCTGTGTTATGTCGCTGCTTGGAACTTCTTCCAGGGCCTGCCCCACTCTGCCCAGGGCAGTGGGGAAGAAGAACATCTTTAAAGAAAAGCAGATTGGAAATGAAGAAATAAAACTTTCCATTCACTGAGAACACAGTTGTGTGGACAATCCCACAGTGTGTCTACAGAAGCTGGTAGAATTAACGAGTGTGCTTAGTGTGGTCATGGGGTAAAAGGTTAATACACATGAATCAGACCTCTGCAGACTAGCATAGAACAATCAGAAATTAAACAGTTTTCAAAGTACCACTTACAGTAGCACCAAAATAATGTGAAATTCTGGGGCCAGCGCTGTGGCACATCGGGTTAACGCCCTGACCTGAAGCGCTGGCATCCCATATGGGCACCAGTTCTAGTCCTGGCTGCTCCTCTTCTAACCCAGCTCTCTGCTATGGCCTGGGAAAGCAGTGGAAGATGGCCCAAGTGCTTGGGCCCCTGCACCCAGGTGGGAGACCCAGAAGAAGCACCTGCCTCCTGGCTTCAGATCGGCGCAGCTCCGGGTGTTAACGCCATTTAGGGAGTGAACCAGTGGAGGGAAGACCTTTCTCCCTCCCTCCCTCTTACTGTCTGTAACTCTGCCTCTCAAATAAATAACATCTTTTAAAAAATATGAAATTCTTCAGGTATATACCTAGCAAAGTATATATAAATGATTTGTAAAACATTAATGAACTCTTTTTTTTTTGACAGGCAGAGTGGACAGTGAGAGAGAGAGACAGAGAGAAAGGTCTTCCTTTGCCATTGGTTCACCCTCCAATGGCCGCCGCGGCCAGCGCGCTGCACTGATCCGATGGCAGGAGCCAGGTGCTTCTCCTGGTCTCCCATGGGGTGCAGGGCCCAAGCACCTGGACCATCCTCCACTGCACTCCCTGGCCACAGCAGAGAGCTGGCCTGGAAGAGGGGCAACCGGGACAGAATCCAGTGCCCCAACCGGGACTAGAACCCGGTGTGCCGGCGCTGCAAGATAGAGGATTAACCTATTGAGCCGTGGCGCCAGCCATTAATGAACATTTAGATAAGCCATGTTTATAGAAAGAAAGATTGTGTATCATTAAAATTTCAGGTTGCTACAGATTCAACACAACCCCTGTGGGTCGAGCCCTTGGTAGCTCAGCCGTTAGTACGGCTGCCGCTGCTGTCGTTGGCTGGAACTGGCCTCCAGCGGTCTGGCTGCGCAGTGAAGTGGGTTTCTTACCTTGTGAAATCGCCCAGCAGGGATCAGTAAGATCCTTTTTCAGGAACTTTGTAGAGAAAACGGAAGCATTCAGTGGGACATCGGACTAGGTGGTCTACTTCGTCTCTTGTAATTAGCGGTCTTGTGAATCTGTTGTCTGTCGGTCAGCAGTTTACATCTGGAGCAAAGGGAATGGGAGCTGTTGGAAGTCTGGCTTTTCCAAGTACTCTGATCTTTCCCCCAAGGGTGCTGTCAGGGCCCTCCCACCCATCTAGTGAGAGTGTGTTGTGCAGGAACTGGTGACGGTTTCTCTAGTGACGGTTGTTGATTTGACTCTGAGGGAAATAGTTTTTACTGTACACTTTAATAGAGCTTGTAATGTTTGTATTTTCACTTTTTTCCAATATAATCAGCCTTGTAAATACTTCTCAACAAGGAGCTAGGGAAACTGAGAAGTTAAAATAGTTCATTTATAACAGGTAATTACACCAGAAAGTCAGTTTTTAAAGATAGTATGTTTCTAACATGTTTTCAGTATATATTTGCTCTATGCTTTTGTAAAAATATGTGAAGTCTTCAAATAAAAGTTCTTTGTGTCTTATTTAAAAAACTGGTTGAAACATGAATAGCGGCCTGTTTTGTCATTAGTACATCCTGGTTTTCTTCCTCTCTTCAAGCTCCCCCCGAGTTCCTCAAGCGACCGGCCAGTCTGTATGCTCACGAGTCCATGGATATCGTGTTCGAGTGTGAAGTGACTGGGAAACCAGCTCCAACTGTGAAGTGGGTCAAAAATGGGGACGTGGTGATCCCAAGTGATTACTTCAAGATTGTAGTAAGTATCTTCCGAGAAGGGCACTGCTTTCTGAGACCTGAAGGTGTCCTGAAATGTGGTCACCAGGAGAGCAGTGATCTTCCGCACAGCCGCTTCGTCCTGCGCGTGAAGACAGCATGAGCCACGTGGAGTGCAGTCCTTCCCTGGCCTGTGGGCGTGCTCCACCCAGGAGCGTCCTGGTGGTCCGTGGGAGACCACGTGGAGCGCAGTCCTTCCCTGGCCTGTGGGCGTGCTGCACCCACGAGCGTCCTGGCGGTCTATGGGAGACCACGTGGAGTGCAGTCCTTCCCTGGCCTGTGGGCATGCTCCGCCCACGAGCGTCCTGGCGGTCTGTGGGAGACCACGTGGAGTGCAGTCCTTCCCTGGCCTGTGGGCGTGCTGCACCCAGGAGCGTCCTGGCGGTCCGTGGGAGACCACGTGGAATGCAGTGGTAGCAGCACGGTGCTGTAAGCACCGCCCCACTTGTCTTCCAGCTGCCCAGTCAGGGAGCAGAAATCGCTCCCTGAAAGTGTGAAAAATGATCCTGACGTTTTAACTAAGAGTGCAGCAGACTGTACAAAACTTCACCAAAAATCATTGACTGGTGGCCAGACCCTTCAGTGTCAAGGGTGTGGACACTCAGTGAAGAGCCTTTACGTGTTAGTTGGTCTGTCTGCTAATACTGTCATCGTTAGCTAACATCCTAGTAGTGACAGTGTCTAGGTTTCAGCGGTAAAAACGATTAATGATATGTGTAAGGTCTCTGTGTGACACAGCATTCATAAAAGTGATCAGAATTTATCAGGGTTGTCAGAGACTTACTGTCTCATTATCAATTTGTCATGTAAGTAGTTCATTCTTAGTAGGAACATATTTTCTGCTTTTGAAATGTATAATCTCATGTTACAAATTCAAATATTTAATATGAAAGAGCAATCTGCTATGGTTAAATTAACATTCTTTAATCTTTATCCGTATATGCTCACTGTTTTGAAGTCCTATTTGTTACATGAATAACTATAGTGGGCATTCATACAGAACTTTATAGTCTAAAGAAAACTCATGTGTAAACTACCTCATTTAAATTATTAGAGTGGAACTGTTAGAACTATTGACATTACTGATAATCTTAGGACAATAATACCTTCAATTCACAAATTCAGACTGGTAACTATGGTCACGTGGTATTGTTTGCTAGATGTTTTTCCAAGTAAAGATCGAGTTCACAGTCTGACTTTCTGTAAGCATTACAGTTCTCATTGTTAGCCGCAGAATCTGCTGTCCTTGTCAGTTAAGTAAGAACGTCACAGTACTTTGACAGAAAATTCAGTCAGTAGGCACACAGGCAGGTAACCAGTGATTGAATCATAACATCTTTATTTTTCCCTCCCAAAATGCATATCCTTGAGATTTTCAGAAGTGCTCTTCAGTCAGATCGTGAACTTCTGTTTGTTCTCTCCTCAGAAGGAACACAACCTGCAGGTTTTAGGGCTGGTGAAGTCGGATGAAGGGTTCTATCAGTGCATTGCTGAGAACGATGTTGGGAACGCGCAGGCTGGAGCCCAGCTGGTCATCCTGGAGCATGGTAAGGGGTGGAGGCAGCAGGGCCACGGCGCCTGACTGCAGGGACTGTGTGTGAGCAGCCAGCGCGGCGGCCCCGGGGCCCTCAGGCTTTGTGTCTTGGGGCCTAAGAGAAAAGGAAGAGCAGTCTAAATCATTTTTATCACTTCAGTGGCCTACAGACACAATTTTGGGTAATGACAAGACATTGGTATTAAAGAAAGCTGAACAAATACAGAGTTTTAGACAAATGCTTGTTGGAATTCAGTCATTTTAATCTCACAATTGTTTTTAAACATTTGTTTATTTGGTTGAAAGAGTTACAAAGAGAGAGGGAGAGAGAAATCTTCCATCTGCTGGACCTGGGCCAGGCTGAAGCCAGGAGCCTCGAACTCCATCTGGGTCTCCCACGTGGGTGTCAGGAGTCCAAGCCCTTGGGCTATCTTTGCCTTCCCAGGCACATTAGCAGGGAGCTAGATTGGCATATGGGATGCTGGCATTGCAGGCAGTGGCTTCACCCCCTGTGCCATGACACTGGTCCCAGAGATACTTCTTAAGGTAATGATTACTTTGCATTGAATTGTCTTCAGTTTTCCCCCAAATAAAATTAACTTGATTTTTCTAAATATCACTTTAAAAAAAAAAGAGTCTCCTACAAAAAATTCAGACAATATTGAGAAGTATAAAGAAAACAAAACCTTCTCCCTGTATCAGCCAGAGTCAGGTGGGAAGAACCACACTGTAACTGGAGCAGGGAAAGCGTACCACGAAGAGTTACTAACTGTAGTAGCTGGAATCGCCCTGGGGTCGGCTGCAGGAAGTGGCTGGTGGAAGGAGTGGCTGTTAACCTTGGTCTGAGAAAGGTCTGGAATCAGACTCTGTGGGGAGGGTGTGGCCGTGGTTTACTGGAAGGCAGAGGAGTTGATGTGGTGCCCACTGTCACTCAGAATCCTCCCAAGGATGCTGGGGAGAGTTGTTCACAGTGAGGTGTCTCCCACAGGAGTTCTGCTCTAGGTCCGCTGAGGGGTTGGGTGCTGGAAGCTGCGGGCCAGAGGAGCCTGCCAAGGCAGCACACTGTCCCAGGGAGGCCCTGCCCAGCGGCAGCCTGTGTCCAGTGCTCTACACTGAGACATTCACCACGGGTATCCACTGGCAAAGGAAAAATAGCTAAGAGCCCAGCCCCACTATTTTTTTTTAAACAAAATTTAATTATTTGAAAGGCAGAGTTATGGGGAGGAGGGCAGAGGGGGCAGCGTGTCTTCCTTCTGCTGGGTCGCTCCCAGTGGCTGCTCTGCTAGGCCACAGCCAGGAGCAGCTTCTGGGTCTTCCATGTGGGTGCAGGAGCCCAAGCAGTTGGGTTGTCCTCTGTGGCTTTTCCTGCCCTTAGCAGGGACACAATCAGAAATGGAGCAGCTGGGACTTGAACCGGCACCCGTATGGGATACTGGGACTGTAGGTGGCAACGTCACCTGCTGCGCCACAGCACCTGGCTCCCAGCCCCGTTTTGGCAGAGCAGGCAATGAGTCTGCATTTGGAACTGAGAGGAAATAAACCTGCCCACTCTCCAGACCCAGCCACCCCGGGGTATTCCTTGAGTGCACACAGCAGTGTGTGTGTTGGGACCTTCGGTTTCTTGCCCCAGCATGCTGTGAACATCTTTCCATATCAGCAAATCCAGGTGGACACTGGATAGTGGATGTGCACTTTGTTTTATTTACCTGGTTCCCTACTAGTTGACATTTCAGATGTCTCCTGATTTTTTTCTATTATGAACAATCCTATGTTTTCTGAAAGGCGTAGTGCTCAAGTACCAGCAGTGCATGGGGCTATGCCAGGCCAAAGCTGGAGCCAGGAGCTCACTCCTGGTAGGGACCCAGCCAGTTGAGCCATCACCTGGGTGAAGCATTAGCAAGAAGCTGGACTCGGACTTGATCAAGGCACAAACCTGGGCACAGCACTGTGGGGTGCAAATGTCTTCCCAGGCGTAACCACCGGCCAACTGCCCACCACCTGGAACTTTCTCATGGGATTGTTTTCTCATACTGAATTACTAACAGTTGGGTTGTTGGGAAGTGGTTCTGCGTAAAATTGATAAAGGCGCCTGTTGAATGCTTTATCTGTTGTAGCAACGGCAGCATTTTGCATGGTGAGCATTTCAAAGGCTTCATGACAAAGGGCACTTTAGGTGTCTGATCTTTTGTGCAGTGGCCAGGTGCCAGTGTGGTTCCAGGTCAAATCCAGGGACAGCTGTGGCCTGGCCAGGAAGCTCACTGGCAGAGAAGGGATCGCTCTGGTTTTTCACCGAAGTAGTGAGTAGGGTTTTATGTGCTGTTTTAAAAATGTGTGTGCTAGTGAGTTCTGTTACAAAAAGGCATAAAATTACCAGATAGCACACTGGCAGGATCCGGGAGGTAGACAGGCTCGCCGCTCTGTCCAGGTGGCAGCGACATTCGTGAGTGCTCCGAGCGAGATTTACGTGAAGCTCAGCAGAGGACTTCAGTATGTTTGTGTTTGGAGTTAGCTTTGTAAATCAAACCCTGACAAGTATAAATGATTGGTTATTCTAGCAGGTCCCTAAACTAACCCTAATTAAGCCCTCCTCTGAAAAACACTGGGGTGGTGTAATAGTTACAGTCATAGTGTGTATGCTTCTCTCTCAGAGCCACATTAAATGAACTGGTAAAAATTTTAGTTGACCTTTTTGGGGATATCTTAAGGATGAATAGATTTTAAAATGGAAAGTATGTGCCATGTTATTAATTTTGTTTTCTATTTTGCTGTTTTATTTTAATTTGCAAGATAGATATTTATACGGGGAAGCTAAAATAGGGAATGCGGCCGTTTGTAAGAGCCGACCCTGCCTCTCTGGAGTGCACAGTGTATTACGGGCGTGAACTGTCTACAGGCGTAGCACGGTCAGATCAGGGGTATTTTTGTGGTGCTAATAAAGCAGCACGTGATTCAGAGGAGGATTTTGTCTTTGTAAGCAGGGGATTTTTTCATGTAAGATCTCTAGTTTCTAATAAGCCTTAAGAGAGAAACTTTCTAGACATTTGTTAGACGGTCTGGATCATTCCGAAGTCGTCTGGAGACCTGCCACTGTGGGAGCGAGGCGTGTGAGGCAGCATGGGACGTGCAGTGCTGTGGTAGACAGTGATGGGAAGGGAGGGTTCGGGGAGGCAGAGTGCAGGGGTGTTGTCGTCAGCGTACTGCAATGACGAGCGCTTGTCTAGAGAAGTGGCAAGGAAGGGTCTAAATAAAGAGTTACTAGTGATTTATCTGATTGAAACCTTCAGTTGGATGCTGAATGTTGTAGAGAAGCCAGATAAATTTCTAAGTTTCTGTCTGGGTGCCTGGACAAGTGGTGATGACCTCACAAAAGGAGACGAGGAAGGTGACTGAGAGCGGAAAGGGAGCTGTGCTTCCACTCGGTGCAAAGAGCGTGCGAGGAGCAACCTCCGTCAGGAGGAGGAGCTTGGTCGTCTGTCCGCTCGGAGCCTCTCCTGGGCCATCAGAGCCGAGCTCGCAGACAGCCAAGCCGCCCAGGGCCTGGCAGGGCAAGCAGTGGGTTGTGTGACAGTCAGAGCAAAGAGATGGCTTCTGTGAAAGTGGGCAAGCAGAAAACTGCCGAAGATTGAACTGATGTGGGCCAGGTTGGACTGCCTGGGGCTCTCGGGTACACTTGCTTGCAAACAGCAGCTCTGTCAGCCGCTCCCGGTTAAGCTGGGCAGAGCAGGAGATGGGAGGAGGCCATGTGTGCTCTAAAGCTGAGGGCGGGACTGCCCTCCTGTTTCCTAGACCCATCCCTGCAGACCTCCAGCCGGGGGGGGGGGGGGGGGGGGCAGGAAGCCTCATTTCCAAGTGTCTGGTCAGAGATTAGAGGAGCCCTTTGGCCCTGATTCCCTGGGAGAAGGGTGGAAGAGAAAGCCCTTGGCCCTGAAACAGGTGCAGAAGGTCACTTTGGGGCCCCAGGATTCTACACCAGTGCCAAGGAGGGGTCTTCTGCCACGGTGGAGCAAGAGCAGGAAACTGCCACCTTCTCCCAGCACAGATGGAGGCTGGCTCAGGATGGTGAGCATCCCGCCTGCCCCAGCCGTGAACCCCGCACCAAGTCACAGACGCCTCGTGCTGGTTAGAAAGTGCGAGCAGGGGTGGAAATCCCTGGACGTCGGTACGGTTGGAAGCGGAGCGGCAGGGAGGCAGGGGAACTTAAAGCACAGGACGGTGGAAGAAGTCTGGCCACAGAGGAGTTTGACGCTCAGGGCAGCCTGCAGTGAGCTGTGACGGCGAGATCCACTCCCAGCTCAGCAGCGCCCCGCCCACTGATGGCGTGGCAGGAGAGGCGTGGTTTCCTGTGAGCGGGCCTCACTGCTGCTGTGCGTGCCACGATGTGTGTCCAGTCATCGGTCAGTCAACTCAGAAGCAGAGGCCTGCCTGTGTGGACAGACGCAAGCAGCCGGACCGCAGACAGCTGCTGTGACCTCTGTGCGTACAGCAGCAGGTTTGCTCTTACACTACAAGATGAATCCGAGCCAGGAACTCAGAAACAAACGTGCTCTTTACCAAAAGGTGCATTTATTTATTTGAAAGGCAGAGTTACAGGGGGAGAGGGGGAGAGAGAAAGAGAGGTCTTCCATCCACTGGCTCACTACCCAGATGGCCTCGATGGCTGGAGCTGTGCTGATCTGAAGATAGGAGCTTCTTCTGGATCTCCCACATGGGTGCAGGGGCCCAAGGACTTTACCACCTTCTGCTGCTTTCCCAGGCCATAACAGAGGCTGGATCAGAAGTGGAGCAGCCGGGTCTTGAACCGGCGCCCATATGGGATGCCGGCACTGCAGGCGACGGCCTTACCTGCTGCTCCACAGCACTGGCCCCCAAACATGCAGTCAACATGTGATCCAGCGGTCACACCCCGGCATTCTCCTGAGTTGAAGTTAGGTTTTCACAAAACCTTCCCACAAGCGTTCACAGCAGCCTTATTCCTCATGCCCAAACCTGGGTGCAACCAAGACGCCCTCAGGA